TGAGTTGGTCGCCTAATATTCATGGATGTTGTACCCCTTAACATTCATTATATCTTGGAAAGGGACTTGAAAATATGGCCTGTATCTCTCCCGAGGCCAAGGAGTAACGTAGATGTGGCATAGTAAGTGGTTCTCCCAGGTTTGCAGGTCTTGACTGGATTCTTCGGTAGTGGGTTGAGGTCACAGGACACAGAAGCCCAGGATCTGCAGCAACTTGCCTAGGTGCTGGGTTGTCTTATCTTTTGGGTGTTTTCACTTTGCCCAAGACCAGGTGTCTGGGGGAGAGTCTTAGCTGGTTGGAGCCTGTGAAATTTCGACATCATGATTAAATTTTTGTAGAGCTGAACCTCAGTTAACTCATGCATGTGCTTGTGAGAACTCAAATCAGATGGACACAGGACAGGATCACATTTCAGTGTTGCGCAACACAACAGAGCTCATAAAAAGGAATCATTACTTCTCTGTGTGCTGCCTGTGTTATGTTGTGTCATAGAAATTGATACCAGTTGTTAGTGAAGTTGATGGTTTTCTATGATTACAAGTCATTTTGTGGGTGCGCAGGGCTCTGTTTTTCTGGTTTCTTCTTTTTATCCCCTACAATTTTGGTCTTTTCATTTCCATCAGGATACAATACTCCTGAGGATAGGCTGTGGACGTCTTTGTTTATGTTAACTACATACTTCAACACTTCATGTAGTTATTCAGTGTGTGTGCTAATGTGTACTAATTAGCATTTGTGCTAATGAAAATTTTACAGAGCACCTGCTCTATCTGGGTAGGTGGTGATGCTTTTGTTATATTTCCATGCTCTTTGGGTTTCTGTGATAAATGGTACTTTTCATTCCATCTGACACATGTTTATGAACGCTGACACACCTCAGACTGCTGGGTATGGGAGTGCAGAGGAAGTAAGTCCTGTGCTAGAGGCCAGTGAGAGAGGTGGGCCCAGGTGCTGGGACAACATGAATGAGGGATGTTTAGTACATGCATGGAGGGTCTGAGAAGATGGGGAAAGGGCTGGCAAGGTTAGGAAAGGCTTTTTGGAGAAGGCAGGCCTTAAACTGCGTTTTGAAGGATGAATAAGAATCAGTTGGGATGCTATTTATTTACTTTTTCAACAGCAAGGTGACACAGACAGACAGATACAGAGACACAGATCTTCAATCCACTGGTCTACTCCCCCCAAGTGACTAGAATGGCCAGGGCTGGTCCAGGCTAAACCCAGGAGCCCAGAACTCCATCCCAGTCTCCTGCATGCAACATTTGCCTTCCCAGGTGCATTAGCAGGAAGCTGGATTGGAAGTGGAGCAGTTGGGACACAGACAGGAAGTCTGATACGGGATGCTGGCACTACAAAGTGGTGGCTTAACCTCTTGCATCACAGTGCTGGCTGTGGGATTGTTTTGTTTTGTTTTGTTTTAAGATGTATTTATCTATTTATTTTAAAAGAGTTAGAAAGAGATCTTCCATTTGCTGGTTCACCCCCCAGATGGCTGTAACAGCCAATGCTGGGCCAGGCCAAAGCCAGTAGCTTCTTTGAGATCTACCACTTGGGTGGCAGGGGCCCAAACACTTGGGCCGTCTTCTGCTGTCTTTTCTAGGCCATTAGCAGGGAACTCTACTGGAAACAGAGCAGCTGGGACATGAACTGGTGCCCGTTTGGGATGCTAGTGTCACAGGCAGCCGCTTTACCTGCAGCACCACAGTGCCAACCCCGTAGGATGCTTTTTTTTCTTTAAAGATTTTATTTATTTATTTGAGAGGTAGCTTCACAGACAGTGAACCATCCGCTGGTTCACTCCCCAAATGGCTGCAATGGCCAATGCTGGGCCAATCTGAAGCCAGGAGCCAGGAGCCTCCTCCGGGCCTCCCACGCAGGTGCAGGGGCCCAACCGCTTGTGCCATCTCCCACTGCCTTCCCAGGTCATAGTAGAGAGCTGCATCAGAAGAGGAGCAGCCGGGACTAGAACTGGCGCCCATATGAGATGCTGGCACCACAATTGGAGGGTTAACCCACTGTGCCACAGCGCTGGCCCCAGGATGCTTTTAACAGCAGAAAGGCTGGTGAAGAGGAGACCAGTTAAGAAGCTGTTGCTAAAGTACCTGCTACCAACTATGAAGTACTCTTGTTGAAACTCTATCCTGAACTAGCTTAAGCCTCTATATCTAGCTCCTAATCTACTGAATATACAGGGATGGAGGAGCTTATTAGATGACATCATGAGGATGCAGCTAGCAAAACCCAAAATGTGAGGAAACAACTTGTTTTCTTCAGCAAACAAATTAGAAAATAAAAGAGGTTGGGGAAATAGATGAAATGTATAGATTAAAAAGACTTGAGGCCTGTCAGTGAACCGAAATGTGTTGTCTCTGACTTTGATTTGAATAAATCAACTTCAAAAAAATCTGTGAGATAGTTGGAAAAGACTGAACACTGCTTGGATGGTTGACAGCACTAAGGAATTTTTTGTTAAAGATTTGTTTATTTTAAAGAGAGAGAGAGAGAGAGAGAGCGAGAGAGAGAACGAGCTTCCACCTGTGGGTTCACCCCTTAGGTGAATGCAATGGTCAGAGCTGGGACAGACTGAAACCAGGAGTCAGGAACTTCTTCCAAGTCTCCCATATGGGTGGCAGGGATCCAAATACTTGGGCCATATTCCACTCCTTTTCCCAGGCCGTTAGCATGGGACTGGATTGGAAGTGGAGCAGCCAGGACATAAACTGCTGCCCATGTGGGATGCCAGCATTGTAGTCAGCAGCTTTACCTGCTGTGCCACAATGCTAGCCCCACTAAGGGATTTCTTAAAATTTAGATGTTGTGATGGTATTGTAGTTATGTTAAAAAAACAGCTCTTGGGGCCGGCACTATGGCATAGCAGTTAAAGCTGCCACCTGCAATGCTGGCATCCCATATGGGGCACCAGTTCAAGTCCCAGCTGCTCCACTTCCAATCCAGCTCTCTGCTATGGCCTGAAAAATTAGATGAAGATGGCCCAAGGGCTTGAGCCCCTGCACCTATGTGGGAGACCAGGAAGAAGCTCCTGGCTTTGGATCAGCCCAGCTCTGGCCATTGTGGCCATCTGGGGAGTGAACTAGTGGTTGGAAGATCTCTCTCTCTCTCTCTCTCTCTCTCAGCCTCTCTGTAACTCTGCCTTTCAAATAAATAAATAAATCTTTTTTTAAAAAAAAAAACAGTTCTTGTCTTTGAGATATACAGAATAAAGATGAATGTAGACGATGTCTAGAATTTGCTTCCGAGTTCCCAGTGTTGGCTGGGTGCTCTGTGTGTGTTGTGGGGCAGTGTGGAGCAAGGAAACATATTCAGCCTTGTATGTTGATCACTTTTGGAATTAAGTGATGGGTACACAAGCAGTTCACTGTACCACTCTTTGCTAGCTCTATGTGTGTTCAAACTTTTGTATAATACATTGAAAGAATTTCTGTAACTCAGAGAAGAAATATTAAGGACCCGAAATAAAGCAGGGGCGATGTTGTGGCACAGCCAGTTAAGCTGCCTGCGATATCCCGTTTTGGAGTGCAAGCTTGAGTCCTGGCTACTCTGCTTCTGGTCCAGCTTCCTTGTAATGCACCTGGGAAGGCAGCAGAAGATGGCCCAAGTACTTAGGCCCCTGTCATCAATGTGGGAGACTGGGATGGGGCTCTTGGCTTCAGTTTGGCCCAGCTCCAGCTATTGCGGCCAGCTGGGGAGTGAACTGCAGATGGAATGTCTTTCCCTCTCTGTCACTCTGCCTTTCAAATAATAAATAAATCTTTTTTTTTTTTTTTCAAAGCACTGGCTGTAGGTAGGCTTGGAACAAAAACAATGGATTTGAAGAAAATACGAGGAAGTTACATTTGATAGCTAATTAGGTACTAAGGGCTAGAGGTAGGTAGGGGAATCTAATAAGTTTATGGTTTGGGACCCAAATACTCTTCCCCAAGGTGGGGATAATGGATGCAGCAAAACCTGAGGGGTCAGTGCAGAGTGGTGATGCTAAGAGTTTGTTCTTGGATGTGTAATTTTAAGATGGTCAGGTAGAAGTGCAGAGTTGGAAACCTACAGGTGAAGTCAGAGGTAGGTATGGAGCAGTATTATTTACTTTTTAACAAGAAACAGTGTACAATATTTATTACTATTTACAAGGATTGTGGTTCTGAGAATAGGTCACTTGAGACTGAAAGTCAGTCTCAGGGCTTATTTATCCTAATGAATGGAAAAATGCTTGGGAGCGTTAAGCAGCGTTATGGAGGGCCTCTTTTGGAATGACCAGAGCAGAATGGTTTTAAAAGGGAAAGTTTTCCAAAAATAAGACGACAAAATTCACATCAGACAAGCAGAAGGCACTGTTAACAAAAGTCAGAGTAAGTCCCCGGTGTTAGAACTGTGAGAAAATTAACTTTTGAAATCACTCTGATAATTTTAGCTGTCTTTTTAATGGGCTTTAAGGGACTAGTTAAGTGTGGAAATACATAGGCTGATGGAACTCAAAATAGTCCTTATGGTAATACGGAGTGAACACTCTTGACTGCTTCCAGAGAGAGTTCTGGTGTCTTAAACAGTGAGCCCTACACAAACAGCCAAGCATTTCACCTACATCATGCAAGTTTGATAAAAATGGCGTTGTGTCCGACGGAAACAGTGTTGATTCCAGGTTGCCTGGAATGGACCAGCATTTAGTTGGGAGCTAAAATCTTAAGAGAGGAGGAGGTTGCCCAGGGAGAATCTGTTAGACAGCAAAGGGGTGCGCCTTGGGGAGGGGGCGGGGGTGGGGGTAGAGAAATGGGAGCCATTTAGGATTCTGAGAAGGGTTGGAGAGGTAGGCAAGTAGGATTTTAGAGAGAATCTAGGGACTAGGAAAGTTTGAGAGTATGGAGCCTCTAACATATGTAGGAAGGTCAGTTTGGATAAAACTGGCCCCTTTAATAATGAGGACTGAAGGCCTTTGGGTTGTGTGTGGTGGGATCAGGGTGGGAAGACTGTATATGTGTACAGAGTCATATTACTGATACTTATTAAACGCTGTTACTAACTTCTAGTAACTTAGACACTTAAAAACTATATTGCGGCCGGCGCTGCAGCTCACTAGGCTAATCCTCTGCCTTGTGGCGCTGGCACACCGGGTTCTAGTCCCGGTCGGGGCGCCAGATTCTGTCCGGGTTGCCCCTCTTCCAGGCCAGCTCTCTGCTGTGGCCAGGGAGTGCAGTGGAGGATGGCCCAAGTGCTTGGGCCCTGCACCCCATGGGAGACCAGGATAAGTACCTGGCTCCTGCCATCGGATCAGCGCGCCAGCCGGGGCGGCCATTGGAGGGTGAACCAATGGCAAAAAGGAAGACCTTCCTCTCTCTCTCTCTCTCACTGTCCACTCTGCCTGTCAAAAAAAAAAAAAAAAAAAAAACTATATTGCTATCCTGCAGTATCTTGTTCCCTTAGAGTGAAGGAAGAGGAACTGCAGATCATTTTAAATTTGTGTTGATTGGGCCAGCGCCGAGGCTCACTAGGCTAATCTTCTGCCTTGCGGCGCCGGTACACCAGGTTCTAGTCCCGGTTGGGGCGCCGGATTCTGTCCCAGTTGCTCCTCTTCCAGTCCAGCTCTCTGCTGTGGCCTGGGAGGGCAGTGGAGGATGGCCCAAGTGCTTGGGCCCTGTACCCGCATGGGAGACCAGGAGGAAGCACCTGGCTCCTGGCTATGGATCAGCGCAGTGCACCGGCCGCAGCGGCCATTGTGGGGTGAACCAATGGAAGGAAGACCTTTCTTTCTCTCTCTCTCTCACTGTCCACTCTGCCTGTCCAAAAAAAAAAAAATTGTGTTGATTGGCTAGAGAGTTATGATTACAAGCAAAGCTTTTACTGGAAGTTAAGATCATTATCCTTTATTCCCTTGGTGCTGTTGACTTTAAAATCATGTTCATTCGTATGCAGAGGCCATGTTAAAGTGTACTTTATTTCTATGAAATGTTACCAGTTTGCTCAAAAAATAGTGGAGTGGAACTGAAGCTGCCACAGGGGTTCTGGCTTTTAGAACTGCAGAGCCGGCTTAAAGCCTGTTTTCCCGGTGACTGCTGTGCGCTGGTGCTCTTAAAGGTAAATGCAAAGTGGGACCCACAGGCAAAGGGCCCATTGCTCTGCCGCTGTTTCTAAGACAGAGTTGTGTGTCTTTTTGTTAGCTCCTTTTATCCCAGAGTGCAAGTAGATGTGGAATTGCTGTGAAGACATTGCTCTTGTAGCCTCTCCTTGGGGCTGTGGTAGGGAGCTCGTGGCCCTGCAAGTGGGGAGAGGAGGTGGGCCCCCTGCTTCCTGCTGTCTCCTGTGCAGGAACCTTGCCCTTTGTGTTTATTTTCCTCTAAGTACAGGGCTGTGAGGGAATTTGTTTCATCTACAAAAACCCTCACACAGCAAGTTGTACGGCCCACGTAGGGACAAAGGAATGACTCAACCTTTTAGGGATGCATTTCCCTCCGTTGCTAACCTCTGACCACACTCTCATGTGGCTGGGAGTTTAGATTTACCCATTTTCCCTACAACAGTTGGAGAGCTTGGTTGCCAGAAGGGGCAGTGAGAAAGCTTCTGCCTCCCAGAGCAGCGCACAGCCCACACTGGCTGCCACTCCATTGCCTGTTGAGTCATTCCCACAGTTCTATATAGAGCTCTTCTGGCTTTTCTTTTTAACGTGGTGTTCTTGGAGTGAGAAAGAAAGGACGTTTCCCTCTCGCTCAGAGTCCCCCCACCTCAAATCTTGTTGCTTTCTCTATTGGAAGAGAGGAGTGCCCCCTCTCCCACCCCAGGCCGTTTTCTCTCCTGAGCCCCTCCTGCTTGTGTTTATAGCTGTTTGACTGTTTAAGGATTAAGGTCCTCCCTGGGCTGGGTTGTTGCAGTAGATGAAATTTGAGATACAGGCTGCTGGGTAAGTGACAGGATTGAGGAATTCTAGGTGAAATGCCCAACATGAATTTCCAGTTGTCTGCCGTCTAAAAGTCAATCGAATGCGCAGAAGCGTCTCGGCATCATTATTTTGAATACAGTTGGTAAAAGGTCTGTGAGGGAATGAAGGAGATTTTGATGTCGGGTAGATTAAAAAGCAGCTTTATGTGTAATTTAGGAGGATTGAAGGTCAGATACTCACATTCACTCTTTTTCGGAACATCTGCTCTAGGCTAGTGGAAAAAGGATCGGAATTTCTTTATTAGGAAAAGGCAGCTCTTACACAGCTTCTGGTACCCCTAGCATGCTCATAAAGCAGTTGTTTGGCCCAGAGATTAAGCCGCTAGTTGGGACGCGCTACTGGCTGTTGGAGCACCTGGATTCAGGTCCTGTCTCAGCTGTTCCAGCTTCCTGCTGACGCGCAGCCTGTGAGGCAGTAGTGATGGCTCAAGTCCCTGGGTCCCTGCCACACACGTGAGAGACTTGGGTTAGTACTTGGCTCCTGGTTTCGGCCAGCCTGGGCCTTTGGGGGCATTTGGGAAGTGAACCAGCAACCCAGCAGATGGGAGTTCTGACTTTTTCTCAGCCTCTCCAGAAAAAACAAAAAGTAAAAAGCAAACAAAAAAAACTCCACACAAGTGTGTCACACACAGGCCAACATCAGTGATCTGTCTACTCACAGATCACGGGTCTCACACAGGCACAAGTCAGGGGCTCTCTGAAGGACTGGCAGATCTGAAAGACAGATTACAGCTCCGGAATGTATCCAGATGACTTTTTGAAACAGATATTTTAATTGGAGTGGGGGTGGAGAAGTAGTTGAGCTTCTGTAGTGAAATATTCAACTTCCGTAGCCTGTTATCTATAAATAACACAGATAAAGAAGCTGGTGGAATTCTTTTTCAGAAAACTTACTCAGCTCACATATTATGTATGTGTTTCTGTGTGTCTAATCCCCACCCCACCCCCCTTCAGCAGCTCAGTAAGTGGACTGTTTCTCAGATTCGGTCGATTGGATTGTGTTTAATTCGTTGCTCCAGACTGCATGAATGGTAGAGTTCCTTATAGTAGGGTTTTCAATAAAATCTTATCTTTTTCTAGAAAGAGAGGAAAAAAGGCATTTGATCTGTTTTCCCAAAGTCTCTCCCTCCCCCCAGAGACAGGCAGCAAGGGGAGGAGCTCTCGCGCTTCTTACCACACTTCATGTGTCTTTTTGGTTTCCCGTCGGCAGTAATTCAGCTCTGTGCCATCCTGACTTGCCTGAAGGTTGGCTAACTTGGTGACCGCGCCGCGAGGGGAGTGAGTTCTCACAGTCTGATTGGAGCGTCAGGCATGAGACTGAATTTGGGGGAGGTTCTGTAGCCTCTGCAGGCAGCGTCTTCCTCCCGGACTCTGACTGCTGCACGGTGCTCGGGGCTGTTGTTTCGGAGAAGACCCCGTCATGACTCTGCTGGAACCTGAGATGCTCATGATGGCCGTGCAGGCAGGTAATCCCTGTCTCCTGCAAGCCTGTCGCCACAGGCTTCATAAAGACGTTGGGCATATTTGTTCTAGGACTGGACAGACGTGGGGGGTGTAATGAATTCTCCAGGAAATGCACTGTGTTTTCAGGTTTTTGTCGATTAAAAAAAGAATATTGCTCTAATCCATTCAATGCCTACTCTTCAGAAGGAGACCTCTTTGTGGAAAAGAAATATTTGTCTTCTCTACCCTAAGCAAGCATTTTATTTTTCTCTGTGGTGCCTTTAACAAAGGGGAATTAAATTGCTTTTGATACTTTATATATTACTGTTTTAGTCACTCATCCATATTGTATTTTATGTCTTTGTGAAAGCATGTTTTAAAATTTTCCTTAGCTGTTCTGTTTTGTGGCATCATCTTTAATGTATCTTTTTTTGGTTTTGTGGAAATGCTCTTGATATCACATGGGATGGGTACTAAAATCTGGAGATGGGGAGAGTTTGAGCTGGAGGCAGTTCACAGAAGGAATGTAGGATTTTTGAAATTCTCTCTGAAAACTGTTTTCCAAGTCAGAAGTGTCCTTTAAAACATTTTAAAAATTCCAGTTAATTTTTAATGGTTTCTTCTACTTTTAGTGTTTTTAAACTGGTAAGTCAATTATCTAAAAATAGGGAATGTTCTTTTGTTATTTTTAGACTTCTACTCAGATGTGATCTGTAGCGTTTCCCTGTTCCAGAGCATATCTTTATACAGATTCATACAAGTGGCATCTGGGGACCCCCCATCCACTGGCCTTCTCTGGGAGGAGCACGATTCTGTTGGTCCAGCAGAGCTGAGCCCCTGCTCTCCCTGGGGGGAGCTTAGGTAGATGTTGAAGACACAGAGGGGTGTCAGTTGAAGACAGATCAAAGGCTCGCAGCTTAAGCCTTGCGGACAGAGAAGGGACCACAAGGGAAGGTGCTGCTACCATATTTTTTTCTGGTTTTATGACCAGAAGTGAGTCATGTATTAGTTGAATTTTTCTGCTCGTATATGCATTCATTCCATGTTCCCTTTCCTTTTCCTCCCACAGAGCTGTTGAGCTTTGTGCTCTAAACGAGTCAGTGTGCTTGTCTGAATGTGTCCCATCTGTCTGATGAAATAGCTCCCAGTTAAACTCACTCAGGTCTTTGTTTCCTGTCTGTATCCCAGTCCTTTGCTAGGTGTGGGCAAGTGCATATTTTATCTTGAGGAGCAGATGTTAGCATCTTCTTTAGTCACTTGGTTATTCATTGGTTAGTTCAGCCTAGTACATTTTGTTTATTTTTTAAAAAGATTTATTTTATTTATTTGAAAAGCAGAGTTACAGAGAGGCAGAGGCAGAGAGAGAAAGAAAAAGGGAGAGAGAGAGAGGGAGGGAGGGAGAGAAGGAGAGAGAGAGGTGTCTTCCATCCACTGATTCACTCCCCAGATGACTACAACAGCCAGAGCTGCATCAATCAGAAGCCAGGCGCTTCTTCCAGATCTCCCATTCAAGTGCAGGGGCCCAAGGACTTGGGCCATCCTCTGCTGCTTTTCCAGGCACATTAGAAGGGAGCTGGATTGGAAGTGGAAGAGCCAGGACTTGAACTGGCGCCCATATGGAATTCTGGCATTGCAGATGGTGGCTTTACCCACTGTGCTGCAATGCCAGCCCCTTATTCTAGTAGCTTTTTTTTTTTTAAGATTTATGTATTTATTTGAAAGAGTTACACAGAGATTATACACACACACACACACACACACACACACACACACACAAAGAGAGAGAGAGATCTTCCATATTCCAGTTCACCTCCCAAATGGCCACAACAGCCGGGGCTTGGCCAGGCTGAAGCCAGGAGTCAGGAGTTTCTTCCCGATCTCCCACATGGGTGCAGAGCCCCGAGCACTTGGGCCATCTTCTGCTGTTGCCCCACACACATTAGCAGGGAGCTGGATAGAAAGTGGAGCAGCCAGATCTCAAAATGGTGCCCATATGAGATGCTGGCATTGCAGGCAGTGGCTTAACTCTCTGTGCCACAATGCTGGTCCCATCATTCTGGTAGCTTTTAAAGGTTGAAAGATAGTACCCTCTACCTTATGGTGGTCTCAGTGTTCCCAGTCCTAAAGGGGACAGAGACATACATGTCTTGCCCGAGAGCTGTTTTTCCTATGACATACGTTGGGCAGGGCTAGCCGTCCATCTGTTGTACCACCTACTTCATAGAACTTAGAAAGGATAATACTATATAAGACAAGTGCAGGTGAAACCGACAAGGGTGACATAGGTAGAAGAAAAGGCCTGCCAGGAATCGTCTGTACTGTGTGTGGACTTTGTTCTCTGGCTTACGTTTGTAAAAGTAGAGAAGATTGGGGTAGGAAAGAGTAATACCAAACTAATTTCTCCAGTACCTGCCATTCCTTAATGTTCAAAAACCTTCTCTGCTGTGGCCAGGGAGTGCAGTGGAGGATGGCCCAAGTACTTGGGCCCTGCACCCCATGGGAGACCAGGAAAAGCACCTGGCTCCTGCCATCGGATCAGCGCGGTGCACTGGCCGCAGCACACCGGCCACTGCGGCCATTGGAGGGTGAACCAACGGCAAAGGAAGACCTTTCTCTCTGTCTCTCTCTCTCACTGTCCACTCTGCCTGTCGTAAAAAAAAGAATCATCTTGAGATACAAACCACCTTAACAGAGTCGTGTATAAAATTGTTATCATTTTGTTCTGAAGTGCTAGCACTGTTAGGTGGATTGTAACAGTAATATGACAGCTAGAGAGAGTAACATGCTGCATCATTTATGATAGGATCTCCCTAAATAAATTCAGTAATTCTACTGAAAATTCAAGACGTTTAGACTTTATGTGAGCTAGAGATTGTCTAGCAATAGGATGTTCTGTACTTCTGTGAATATATGGTTATGAGCAAAACTATTATTTAATATTCTTTTTTTATTTGACAGGCAGAGTTAGAGAGAGAGACAGACAAAAAGAAAGGTCTTCCTTTTCTGTTGGTTCAGTCCCCAAATGGCCGCTACGGCCGGTGCGCTGCGCCGATCCGAAGCCAGGAGCCGGGTGCTTCCTCTGGGTCTCCCACGCGGGTGCAGGGCCCAAGCACTTGGGCCATCCTGCACTGCACTCCCAGGCCACAGCAGAGAGCTGGCCTGGAAGAGGAGCAACCGGGACAGAATCCGGCGCCCCAACCGGGACTAGAACCCGGGGTGCCGGCGGAGGATTAGCCTAGTGAGCCGTGGCGCCGGCCGTTATTTAATATTCTTATTTGAATTCTTTTAAAGAAAATTTTATTTGAGAGGCAGACAGAGTTCTCGTCCCCTGGTTCACTCCTCAATGCCTGTAACGGCCAGGGGTGCACGCCGGAGCCAAAGCTTGAGCTGGGAGCATCATCCAGTTCTTCCTCTGGCTGGCAGGAGTCCCGGTGTTTGAGGCATTGCCACTGCCTCCCTAGGTGTGCACAGAAAGGAAGCTGGAGCCGGGAGCTGGAGCTGGGAATCAGATCCAGGCACTCTGCTGTGGGGTGTGCGTGTCTTAACCACGAGCTTAAACACCTGTCCTTCAATTCCTGATTTAACTATATCCCTACAACTGGATTTAAGAGGCAAAGCTTCTACCTTAAGTCAGAGTTTAGGATACTATTTTAGCAGAGTTTCGGGCACTTCATGTGCTCATTAACAGTTTTCATTCGGTCCGTGGAGCTTGGAGATTATGGGACACACTCAAGTACAGGAACACTTTGAGGCTCCTGCCTGCTGGTCTCTGATCCTTCGGGTCAGGTCAGGTGCTGCCTTCTGTGCCCCTGCTGTTCCCCTGGGACTGCCTTACTGTCTACTGGTTATCATCTTTACTTGTCTCCCTAATTAGATTATTAGCTTCTCAAGGGCGATGGGTTCTTCTGCATTGGCTCCTGAAGTTGGCACGTGGCAGGCAGCATTTTTGAATGAATGATGCAAATTGGTTTGGCCCATTTCCCCAGATAAACAGGCACAAGCTTTTGAATCAAGATTATGCCCAAGTATTTTCACAGCTTTTCTGAGATTAGGCAATGAGTCCTCTAGCCACTATCTTGTATTTTAGTCAGTCTTTGCCCAAAGCAGGTGCTGTTGAAAGCATGACTTTCAAAGCTGAAATTCTTTCATCTCACAGAACGTGTGGTGTGTCCTGCCTACCTTCCTGCTAAACAAGTGCTCTGATCAAGCCACAGTTGGAGTCCCAATGAAAACCTGTCTGGATCCCTGTGATTAGAAAATGAATGACCTGAGCTGACTTTATGGCTGTCGGGCAAAGCACTGACTCTGGTGTATTCTAGAATGGAGAAATGCTAGGGCTCAGCTCTTGACAGCCAAAAGGGCGGGCCCCATGCCAGTGTTCAGACAGTGCATCCCTCTTAGTTTGGGGCAGACTTCTCTCGTAGAAAAAGGATTGAGACCGTCCTCTTGGTTTGCTTTATCTCATGACATACGCTTGATCTTGATGAGGCACATTTAGGGAATCAGGGTGTTTTCTCTCTTTTATGTGTATATGTGTGGACACCCACACCCACACCCAAGACCATAAGAAACTGATGGCAGTGGCTGCCTCAGGGAAAGAGGTTGGAGGATGAGGAGACTGGGGTGGAAGAAACTGTTTGACCCCCAAAAATATTGAGTTCCCTTTTAAGCTTGTTGTTGTTATAGGAATACTCAAGAGCAAAAGAATATATGGAGTGTATATTAAATTTATAAAATGTGACATGAGCCCTGGTAAGAAATAGAGCCCAGCCTGGATACTGAAATCCTCTAAGTGCCCTCTTTGATTTATGCCTCAGAAAACTCTTGTTTTTAACCGTATGCCTTTTAAATCTTTTATGTTTTATACCACGTGCATGTTACCCATTTGTGTCAGGGTTCTCCAGAGAGAGAGAGAGAATGGAGAGAATAGCAGTGTAGGTCTGTGAAGCGGGGGTTGTTAGTGACTTCTGATTTGCTGTCTGCAGACTGGAGACCTTGGGATGCCTGTAGCATGGCAAGTTCA